CCCAATAAAAATAATATTTAGTTAAAATTTTTATTGATTTCTCAGCTGAGTGAGAACGGTCAAATCTCTTAGCCACTATGCAGGAATCATTCCAGATTTTTGCACTCACACTCTCAATATAATTGGATCTTTATACTGTCCAAGTGCTTAACCATCAACGGTCAGAGTCTGACTCTCTTTACAACATTGACCAGTACTTTACATCTCAAATAGTCCCATTGAAAATCCAGCCCCATGTAAATTATTGATAATCAGAATAAGGTAAATGGATAAAAAGATGAATTTTTTATCAATAAATGTCAATAAAAGTTGATTTCACCATTCACTCACAACTGACAAAAAAAAATTCCTTCAATAATAATCCAAATTTACAGATAGGCAACCTAAGAAAAATGCTGCTAGAGAACGTAGAGTTTCGTGTAAGGATATTTACTTTGTACATTTTGACATGAGATGTTGACAATGTGTTTTAACAGTTAAAGCTTTATAACTTTTTGAATCTCAGCATGTACTGTAATTAACTAATTACTGTCCTGTAATTTCCAGCAGCTACGAAAATTAAGTAGATGCTTTTTAAAATGCTTAAAACCCATAATTTTGCACAACTGTAAAAACTGTAAGATAAAACTAGAAATGTTTAAAAATAAACCTGGACATTTTCCATCAGAAATTATAAAAAAATAAAAATTGATGGAAAATATCAAATGTTTTCTTCCAAGCCTAGATATAAGAAAGCATTTCCCCTTCTGGCTTTTCTCACCTCCAGAAGACTGCTGTGAGGTGTACCTCTTTCCACAGCACATCCACTTTACTTTTAACTGGCAAAATAAGGTTACCTTAAAGATTTCATTACCACCACCTCTGAATGTTGAGCATACTGCCCTTCTTGCACCCCAGACTCAGTAGGCCCCTCCTTCAAGCATTTTATTTTAAAACCTAGTAGCTCCAACCACTTTGTTTCCAAATTGGCATGTGTAAAAGAGTACAGATTCTACCAAGTTCTACTCTCCACTGCACACATTTGGTCAAATTAGTAATTCCAACCATTTCTAGATTCAGCACAATACAAAACACCTAGCAACTTCTGTTTATTTCTGCCCTAAACCACGAAGGTTAAACGTATTATTTTATCATGGAAAGCCTCACATGTAGCAAATTGCAACACATGCCCAAGTGTTGAACTAGGAAGCAGAGAGGACATGGAGGGAGTTCCTACAGCTTCCTATGTACCATGAAGTCCAGATCCATACCTGCTTTGGAACGTATGTGCCAGGGTGAGGAAGAAAGAGTGCTGAAGATGAAGCAAATTGCACCACTGACCCAAAACAATATACAGAGAAGGAACAATGGGCTGAAATTTCAACTCCCCTTTGGACCATGTAGTACTGGCTCCTTGGAGTAAACAGCTCCTTGGGCATATACCCCAGGTAGGCTCCGAGGATTCCATTCATCTGCCCCAGGCCTTCTGAGCACAGAGCAAAGCTTTTTCATGTGGACATTTTTCTTGCCCAGGATTTCACTGTATGGTATTTTAAACTCATCATCTCCGTAGTGTTAAATCAGTATTCTATGTACAGCCTGTTTCTGCAAAGGCTTCCAAGCCTGGGAAATGCTTTCTTGAAAAGCTGTAGTTAATATAATGCATGCATATATTTTCTGAATGGTGTTATGCCTATTTCCTTTGTTGAATCCAGAGACCTGTACTGTTTCAAAATTTGTCTCTGTGTTATGTGGCCAAGGGAAGTTACTATTATATCAGTTCACAATCTCCTTCAGAATCTTTAAGCAAAACATGGGGATTTGACAGCTGGCAATTTACACTGTCTGCTCATCAACATCAGTAAAGCTAAAGGTTCTCTTTGAAAATAATGTGAATTTTCTGTATTAAAATACACTTTTCAAACTATGGAAAGCACATAAAATATACTACAGTCTATCAATAAGAGAGAATTAATGAAAATCTTAGATTAAACTTTCTGGGGGGGGAGAAAGGCTTACCTCTCGACTGCAAACCACGGCCACATGCTTCATTGATTCCCAATATGCCCTGTCTCACAGAATCTGGCACCAGTATACAGTGACTCCATTTATGGGTCTTCCATCTATGATAATAAACAAAGAGTTAAGGGGTTTGTGCTATTATGGTTGCTTAGAAGTGAAGACAGCATTGAAGTAATTTAGGGGTAAAAAAACAAACAAACTACAAGAATGTTGTAATTTTCCCTCAAACAAGCTTTACAAACTTAAGCTCAGATTTAAGATTAAACCCATACGAAATCTACATGAGCCTCCAATCTTCCTCCTTTGTTCTTTTTTATTTAAGTCTTAGTGTCTTTTTCAAAGTCTACTGAAATCAATGGGAATCTTATCATTGACTTTAGTAACTTCTTGATCAGAGTCCTTTCCTGCAAACCCTTATTCACGAAGTTAATATTTTGCAGAATCTGCCTTCTAGGTTATGATGTGTGATATATAAGAATGCAGGTGAGCATCTGCCCATATATTTTTACAGCTGCTTAGAAACATGCATGCATAATGTCTACTGTAATGTGCAGTTTTGTCACAACATGCATTTTTACTCTTTTCAAGTACATGTTGTAATGTCGTGATCTGGGACTCAGAAGTTTGCACACAAAGATATAATGGATCTCTATTTACTAATACTTGTATAACACATGGTGTGACGTTGCACCCCATAATGCTTTATAGAAATATGCTTATGAGTGTAAATATGACATAACTGGAATATGTTTTATGCTAGATATAACATATCATGTAACATATCTTTGCAAAGGTTATGTTCTACTGAATGTATTCATCCTATTCGTATGCATGTATCATTTTTATATCGTAAGCTATGAGTGTTGGCTCTATGCTTGTATTTAAAGTGTTTGCTGTAGGAAGCACATAAGGCAGATTTGGTCAACATAGTGTGAAGGGGTTATGCGAGTAATTGGGAGTACTTAGCTAACAATGGACCTTGGGAGACGCCAAGCCACAGCTAAGCTTTCCTACGGTAACTACGGGGGTGTGAGTGATTGCTGGACCCAGTCTAGGAAGGATTCTAGTCTGTCAGCTTATTGGAACATCTCTGAGGGTGAGATTTACTTGCATTTAGTTTCCTACTGTATTAGGCTTAGACTTGCGTGTTTTTGTTTCATTTTGCTTGGTAATTTACTGTCTGTTATTACTTGGAACCACTTAAATCCTACTTTTTATATTTAATAAAATCACTTTTTACTTATTAATTAACCCAGAACATGTATTAATACCTAGGGGAGCAAACAGCTGTGCATCTCTCTCTATCAGTGTTATAGAGGGTGAACAATTTATGAGTTTATCCTGTATAAGCTTTATACAGAGTAAAATGGATTTATTTGGGGTTTGGATCCCATTGGGAACTGGGTATCTGGGTGTTGGAGTCAGGAGCACTTCTTAAGCTTATTTTCAGTTAAACCAGGCAGGGTACTGAAGTCCCAAGCTGCCAGGGAAAACAGGCTTAGAGGTAGCATATCAGGTGGCAGTCCCAAGGGGGTTTCTGTGACCCAACCCATCACACATGACCACAGAATTTTACTGAAGAGTGGTAAATAGTTTTCTTCGTTGTGCTATTTGTCTACTCAGAAACTAAAAAATACATATTAATCAGTGAGCTGCAGAGAAGAAGGTGGAGTATCTGCAATGACCATACAATTATCATTAAAGTAGTTTAGTGATTGTAATCCCACATTAGATTAAACTGATATTTAAAATACATTCAGGGTTGGTTTGTTTTCTCATGCATCTTCACACATTTTTAAAACTGAAGGTTGCTTTTTTAGGATGGTGTTTACGCTGAGGCTCATTTTGGTGAAATCACACATTCGTTCTACTAAAATGCATTTTTTGTTGATACAGAGCTAATATTTATTTGTTATTTTTTGTGATGAAAAATTATTAAATAAATTGCACATGATTAAAATATAAAATGCATTTCTGGAGAACTAGAAACCCAATGTCAGAGATTCTTAGCTGCTTATTTACAGAACCTGTAAACTGGACAGACAGGAATATCTTCACATTCTCTTTCTTCATACAAGGTGTCTGGGCAGTCCTGTCCCCCATTGGCAGCGTTCTGAATGATAATCCTATATCGGAACTGTTTAATTGCTGTAGCATTGTCTGTAAGAAAAAAATGCAGCAAACATTTGTTTACCAGGCATAGTTGGCATCATTAGCTATCTGGGTTAAAATCCCGCCTGAGGTTACAACTAGTAAAACACTGAAAGCTTGATCCTGCAAAGCAGGGAGGGGTGCTGCTCTATATCAAAGATACCTTTATCTGCTTTAGAATACCAACACATCAGAAGAACAGAACCCGGAATGCTTATGGATCAATTTTTTAAGTGATAAATCACAAGCTAGGACGCTGGGGGTGGGTCTGTTACAGATCATCAAATCAAACAAGAGAATGGGATGAGTAGCTCCTTAAACATCTATCTATAATGTGGAAAAACAAAACTTATTATCATCATGGGGGGTGGGGGTTCATGATATATACCAAAGGTCTCAAGCTGCCACTAGTAAAACATATTCAGAGTTTTAATAGACAATAACTTTCTAAGATAAATTATTGCAACCAACTTGTGGTGATTCTACATCGACCCTCATTCTAACACAAAGTCATACCATCTAGGAATAAAGAACATATGTCAGATTTACAAAATTGGAGGCAGCATCCTGGAATGCAGTGACACTGAAAAGGACTTAAGAAAATGGTAGTTTCTCCTGAAACAAGAGATCCAGTTCAGTGCTGTAGCTAAGAAGACAAATGGGATCCTTAGATTTGAAGTAGGAGTAGGGTGTTGAAATGCTTTCTGGAAAACCAAGTCCCATTCTAGAGTCCACACTCAAAAAAGATGTTGAAAAACTAGAAAGGAGGTCAGAAAAGAGCTACAAAAATGATTCAAGATCTGGAAAACATGCCTTATAATGAGAGAATGTAGGAAGCTCTATGTTGTTAGTTCATACAAGGAAAGGTTAACAGGTAACTTGATTATGGTCTACAAGTCACTATACGTGAACGAGATTTCTGATAGTAGAGGGTTCTTTAATCCAGCAGAAAAAGGCACAACAAGTCCAATGGTTGGATGCTGAGTAGAAACAAGGCACAACTTTTTTATAATGATTAAGTCTATGAATAAGTACTTAAATATGTACTTAAGTTAAAGATCACAAGTAGTCCACATTGAAGTCAAAGGGATTACTCACACACTTAAAGAAGTGCTTCGCTGGATCAGGGCAAGAGTGATCAGTATCCTGTAAGCTCAAATCCTTGCTGATTTGTACACTTCAGAAAAAAATCACCATGCAGATTAGCCCAATTACAAAAGGAGCGTCTTTTTCTGTGAAACACAGCCAAAACTGAAACTCAGCAGTTTTCCAGGTGAGGACTGAGATGCATTACATTGGGAGGAAAGTTCATATAGAAACTGGCTCTGAGGCCTGGTCCACACTAACCCCCCACTTCAAACTAAGATACACAACTTCAGCTACGTGAATAAAGTAGCTGAAGTCGAAGTACCTTAGTTCGAACTTACCGTGGGTCCAGACGCGGCAGGCAGCCTCCCCCGTCGACGCCGCATACTCCTCTCGCGGAGCAGGAGTACCAGCGTCGACAGCGAGCACTTCCGGGATCGATCTGGGATCGATTTATCGCGTCTAGACAAGACACGATAAATTGAACCCAGAAGATCGATTGCTTACCGCCGGACCCGGAGGTAAGTATAGACGTACCCTTAGCAGGCATGTAATTAGTGGAGTAATGCTACTCCACTCCTATTAAATATCCCTCTGATCCTTACTGGATCAGAGCCATAAGACTTGGTTCAAGTCAGTGCTACTGAACCATCACCTCCAAGAACACAACATTCGTTCAACTTTATATAGGTGTATTTTAGATTTTTAAAACTCTATATAAATGTGTTTGCTTCATTAAAGATAATGACATAATTAATGCTTTGATAATAAATATCATGTTTGACTACAGAAGCCTATTTGCTTTAATGAGTTACACACTATTTAAACAAAGATTTTTACAACTTGGAAAACCTATAGTACAATGTTTTGTGGAAAAGCATAAAATGTATCATATCAGTGAACATTTCCCCCAGTATAATGAATGCTGCCCACAACAGAGCACACAGTCAGTTGAAGGGTATTATGCAGGCATCAAGCCTGAAGTCTTTACTCAAAATCCCATTGAAGCAGATAAGAGATTTTTTTCTGAAACGACTGAGGAAGGATATGGGCCGGCTATCACTAAAATTAAAAACTAGGAAAAAAGGAAGGATGCATAAAATCAAATGGGTTTTAACTTCAGAAATTACTTCATAATCAAAACTGCGTATCATCATACAGCAGCATCTCTACTATCACAGTGTATATTGCTTATGCACAAAAATCTACAGTAAAAGAACACTATTATGGTTGCAAGATGTTAGGAAATGCCACAGTTAAGGTTACCTGTAAAACTTTAATTCAACCCTCCTGATAGAAGTAGTAGGTTGTCATCCTCTAAATGGACCAGTAGTAGAAGGGGATAAGGCATACACTTTACCACTGGGTATTAAAGATATTTGCTGACAAAAAAGAATGGTGAGACTCAGGAATCTTGGGTTCTGTTCCATCTCTGGACAGGAGTGTTCTCTAGTGGGCACAGACTCTTTTGCCCATTCCCCCTAAACTGTCCATATCTCTTCCAACCTATCCCAGTCCTGTATCTTCCCCACCCCTGGCTCCTTGTCCCAGTCCTATTCTCCTTGCTTACCTAGTCCTAGTCTTCCCCTCTGGGTTTGGTGTCCAAGTCCCAATCTTCCCCTCCGCTCTCAACCTCTCCCCTTCCCCACATGCAATCCCAGTCTGCTTGCCCAGCCAGTCCCAGTTCCCCTCTCCTGCCTCTCCCGCTCCCCCACTGATTCCCAGTCTTAATCTCTCTTTCCGAGACCCTCATCCAATCTCAGTATACTCCTCTCCCCCAACTCCTTGCCCCCCCTTCCATGGCTCCTTGCCCAGTTTCTTTGCCTAGCCAGTTCCAGTTCTTCCCTCATACCCTGCTTATAGAAGGATGTCTCTATACCCGCTTCCCCACACTCTTTTCTAGTCCCAGTCTCCCCACACAGCTCCTCATCTAATTGCATTGATCCCTTCCCAAGCCAAATAGTTACCTGTTCTGTTCTCCACCCCCATTTCCCTCACCAGCTCCCAGTCCCAGTATCCTTGTCCAACTACTTCCAGCCTCTTGTCCCTCTACCAGCCCCACCTATGACAGTATAATGACAGAACAAAAAAATAGGCAAAGCATCCGAGAAAAATATTTTTTTTGCCAAGGTCCCGGATTTGTTCCATTTGGTTTTAAATCTGATGTAAATCACTGTTAAAATAAATGCGATAAGCTATTATCTAATGTTTTATGAACACTTGTCTAGGTGATCAAACTACAGTGAAATTGCTAGTCTTTACTCTAGACAGCCACAGACTGGAATAGCAGGGGCACTGCAGACTTAAATACATTGACACAGCTATAAAGGGGAGTTTGTGTATGCCCTGCACATACAATGGCAGGCTCTAGTGTGTGATATCAGTCTTTTAACTGTCCCCAGCAATACAATTCACCAAAGCTCATGAAATAATCTTACCATGTTTTCTTATTAACATTACTATTACAGCAGTGAAAAACATCTTCCATACACTAGCTGTCTGTAATATAATTTAGGATGTGTATCATCATCTTTCATTATTAAAAATCAACGTATAAATACCCCTACTCTTTCCTAGCTTTGCATCATATCCATTCACACAGATATTGTCAGCGTATCCAACACACTCAGGAATGATCTCTTCTCAAGAGGAAGACAAAAAATGTAAGGGCACTACAAGGTTCAAGAAACAGTAGACAGATCCTCCACTACCCGCTGCAATATTTTTATCAGGGATGTGACCTTCCCATTCTAACACTCTCCCCTCCCCCTTTTAGATCTCTATTGACAAATCATTGAAGCACATCATCTGTGATAAAAGTAGCCATCTCCCATGTGCAAACACCATCCATTTTGTAGGTTATTGAGTAACTCTAGAGGTGAACATTCTGCAATCTTCATTTTATTTCTTTTTGGTTATAATTTTCACTTTCATCCTCAGAGACCAATTACACCAATTATAGGAGACAAGGGTGAACAGAAGTCACCCTGGAGTATTTGAAATGGCAGAGAATCAATAAATTTACTTGTAACAAACTTTGTATTCTTGACTCATCACAGGTATGTGATTCAATTGCATTTCGTTTTTGAATTATGTATTCCATGCGTCTATGGTTGCCCTAACTGCTGCCTGCATTTCTGAGTTGTGTGATAATCCTTTGCCAAGAGGCTACCTGATTAGTGATAACATTAAATGGAGGGAAAATACCAGATTTTAATGTTAGAGAAGTTGGATGCGGTTTTACAAGATAAAACACAAACCTCTTAATTGGTAAAACTGAATTTTGCAAGTACAGTTTCATCTAACCACTGATGTTATGCTGGTACACATTTCATTTTAAATCTGTAATGCAATACCTTCTCTTGCTTGAGCTGTAGCTTAGTGCTTTGCGATCTGCATATTGTTTTCATTAAATAAAACTCTTCTACAAAAAACAAAAGCAGGACAAACAAAAACAAAAAACCTAACAACCCATGTACATATAATGGCTTGTAAACTTCAGATTAACTACACACTGCAAATGAAATTTTTTTTTACAATGCAGCCATATCAATAACAAATCTGCAAGCAACAAACTCCCACAACTGAGAAGTTTTAATTTAGAATTATATTAAAATGATAACACCGCCAAGTAAATTAAATAATTAATTTATTCTCATTTTAATTGTAGAGGATTATTTAATAAACAAAGTAATTTATAAGGTAATTTATTCTACTTCATTATATATAGTTAATTTAAAATCTAAAAATGAACTGTTAATTAAAACAGGATTCACTTTTTAAAAAGCAACTCATTTACCTATAAAAGATAACCGGGACTGGGCTATGTAGTCCACTGACAATCTGCAAAGGGCAAGGAGGCTGGCAGCAAAAATGGAAGTATTTTGATAACAACAAGCACTTTCATCCAGACAATTACTAAAATACTGCATTGGTCATAAAAACTGACAACAGATCCCTGAAAACACAGGAGACTAAAGACCCTCCGTATCAAAGTTCAACTGCTAAATGAAAGTGATAAATGGTGCTTTAAAATCAGCAAATCTGGGAAGCTATTTATGCAAGCCTGGTGTGCCTCTAAAAGTTTGGGCTGGAGTCAAATAAATGTTGGCTAACGTACTGATTTCATAGATATCAGGACAATAGCAATAAGGACTTTTGAAATTATAAGCATAAGAAAGTTACCGGTTTCAAATAAAGACCACTTACATTTCAAATTTCTTTACTAGGGGGCCACCAATACTCTACAGGTCTCCTTTAACCACCACTCCCCCTCCCCATCCTTCTTCTTCAAGCCCCCACCCCCCTTAACCACACTGCCCCCTCCCCATCCTCCCTTAACTACACTGCTGTCCCCATCCCCCTTCTGCAAGCCTCCCTTTACCACTGCTGCCCCCCCCGCCTCCGCAAGCCTCCCTTCACCACTGCTGCCCACCTCCTACTCCACACGACTCCCTTAACTGCACTTCCCCCTCCCCCTTCTACAAGCCTCCCTTAACCCCATTGTCCCCTTCCAGCCAACAAGCCCTGTAGTGGCCACTGCTGGTGGCAGCCAGAACTGCAGCCCAAGGCCAGCAGCTCAGGTTGCCAACAGCAGCAGTTACTGGCTGAGGCCAAAACTGCAGGATCAGTTCTAGCTCAGCCAGAAACCGTGAGCAACCAGGATCTCTGAGTGAGATCACAAGCATCCCTGCTTCACCTGTCACCCTGACTTCCTCTCACCACTCTGCCACAGCCAGACCCTTGGGGGAGCAAGGATTCCTGAGTTGAATTCCTAGGTGTGATAGAGTCTCTGGGGTTTAATCCTGCAGCTTTCTGTCCCCCCACATTCCATTTAGGACTGTCACCTGACCAAACACAGTAGTTATATTCCAGATCCAAAAGCACACTCTAATCAGGAGTTGTGGCCTTGTACAGCACAGCTTCATGTACCCAAATCAGCCAGTGGAGTCCACTACATATCCCAGAGCCCAATGGGTAGAATCAGAGAGAGTTTTACTTGGGCAAAGAATGTGGGATTGGACTCATAACAGATAGACATGGAAGTAATGATTTGAAAATCAATATGGGGTAGATTTTCTGAAGCACCTTCACTTGGACTTGAACTCCTAAACCCTTTAGGCACTGTGAAAATCTCCCTCTTAAACAGACATAATGCTATTTAGTGGAAGATTTGAGGGATGATTTGAAACTTTCTGGTAAGCCTGGTGGCAGGTGAAGAGAGGGAGTCTAACAACAAGTCTGAAAGTCTACACTTCAGATCTCACTTCTAATGCTGTGAGGTGATGCTGGCCAGCCAGGTTTGAAAACCTGGGGAATGTAACACAGCTTTGTTTTAACTAGGGCTTTGATTAAATAGGGCTAACCTGAAGTTCGAATAAAATATAAACTCCATTAAATTATTTTGTAATAATGAAGTAATTTAAAAACATTAACAAGTTGCTTAAACAACAAATTTATTAGTATAGAAAGGCCTCTGATGGCCTGGCCATTCTGTAGTTTAATAATCGTTAGGGATTAAGGGTACAATTATTTATCTGACCATAAAAGTTGGAGACAAAACTTACCCATTTGCTTTCTCATGGACTCATCTATTCAAGGTAACACATACTGTAAACATTAAGACCTGTGAAACTTTATTTGTCTTGAAAACCATTGCCTGGGTGGGTTGAGGTGAACAGGTTTGCTTAAAATCTTATTTATTCTCATTTTCAGAATCTTACCATGTTGGCATGTTGTAGGGCAGTGTGTCCACTCACTGAAAGGGGTAACAACACAATCTTTTTTACACGGGAGCAGACATGGACGCACTGTTTCAGGTCGGAGGGAGTCTGGACACCTATCAATACAATTGTAAATACAACATATGAGAGTCCCTAAAATAACATGGGACACACACACACACTCAGGAATATGATCAGCTAAGCAATACAAAAAGGATGCACATGGTTGTGGTTGAACTCCATAATGCATAGCCAACAAGTACAACAATTCAGTTCTTTACATCTTGAAAACCTTCCAGGTTTATCATCTAGCTTGTTTCTAAGCTCATTTCTGTTCATACTAGGCCTAATATTACACCCCAGCTACCGCTGGCTCCCAGAACAACCCTTGAGATCTGTGTGCAGCTAGCACAACTTACAACTGGCCTTCAGGCTACTCTAAATTGTACGTAGCATTTGGCCCAGCATTCACCAACCTTTGCTTTGGGAAAGTTCAAAGGTGGCTTAAAGCTTCATTTGCAATCCCCCTCCTGACCTGCACTGAGCACTCTTCAGGCACAACCCAAGATCTAGGCCTATATCTTCATGGGAATGTGTGTCTATAATTTTCTCAGCACACTACAGTAAATAGATCTTTGTGATTTTGCAGTCAATTTCAGACTCCTAATTTAAAAATGAAATACATATTCTAATGAAAAAAATCAGATGCAAGAAGCTCCATGTTTGAGTCATGGGCGGAAGGGGAAAGGGGCAGTTCTCTGTGATGAGGAACATCAGCTGTTCTAAGTGGGAGAATAAAAACAGAATTAGCCTTTCACAATCTTTATTAATTTCCATGTAGGAAGATTGCTTGAGAAATACCCATCACATACCTGAACACATCCAACCAATAACTAAATATCTATCTATATGTATATTACTGTACCACTAAAGGATATTAGAAACAAAAATAAATCTGAAAATCATAATTCAGCTAACTGAACTATTAATACATTTTTGTAATGCTTAAAAGTATCAAACAAGGGTTTTAAAAAAGAGATACAATGAAATGCATTGATTCAATAACCATGAATATTCAAGAGGGAAGAAAGAATTCTCAGTGTGCAATGATTTTTTTTTCATTACATCTAGATACAGTATATGAAGCCACTGCAACCTATTTTTATTCAGTGTTCTTTTTTATACCCCATTTTCAGTGGCTTTCAGTTTCATAAGGTGGTGTGTTATGTTTCAGCTTCCATTTCTTCAAATAATGGGAGGGTGGGGGAGTAGCATGAAGTAAAAAATGCAGTGTGGTAACATAAAGATTATTTATTTGGATAAATTAATCCTGTTCCTGAAGCCACATGGCTAGTTTACTACTGCTTCAGCAGTTTTATGTTAAAACCTAACTTGTTAGTCAATTTTAATAAACAATTATATACTGTAAAATACATTAAAAACTAACAATTATTCTGTTATATTGCTATCATTATGGTCTCAAAATTCACCATTTTATTGCCAGGAGCCCCAAGCCTGTAAAGAGCTTCCACATAGGTGAAGAGATCCAAACATGTGACGTTCATTGCAGGATCAGGGCTCAAAGTCAATACGTTTAATAGAGTACTACTCCTTTCCCCTCTGGCAACACCAGGTTATTCTAATCTCTTATCACCTCTTTTACACTTTTCTATCATTTTTGGAGTTCCACTGGTTACTTCATTCCTTCTGAAATACTGGAATTCCTTTCTTTAATTAAGAAACCGGTTTTGAGAAACTTCAGAGAGGTTTGGCTTTGCTTCTTTAATTTACTTATGTGGGGGAGGGGAGTTCCCATTGTAAAACACATTGAAGTGCAGAATAAAGAGGAATAAAATCATCCCAATGGGATCCTCCTTAATGGCTCAATGGCCTCCACATTTTCTGACACAATCCATTCCATTACACTTCACAATTAGAATATTATTGTAACTATACAATTACATTTGAACAAAACATTTCCACTGAAACCTTAAAATGCAGGAGTGCTGAATTCTGAAGATCCCAGTACATGCTATAATTTTCCATTTCTCTCATACTACAACTCAAGTCATTTCTCTATAAAAACTCCTTCTTTCCTCCTCTGCTAGTCCTAGATCCATCCTCCCCTTCTACACAAGTGTTTACTTTCTCATTTCAGCTCCGTTTCCACTTAGCTAGTAAGCAGAGGATGGGGACAAATAACTATTTTACACATTATATGGCACTACAAATGGTATAACTTAATGGTGATAAATTTACAGTACATTAGTGGGTACCAGACATTCTCTTCTTTGCTCAATTAATTTCATTAACCTCAAGAATTTTAATTAACTTTATTGAAGTGACCACAGTCTGCCCATATTTAGCAGGATTGTTTTGAGACATGCAATAAGATTTAAAACAAGGCTGCAAGGAATAAGCGAGGGCTTGATTTTTTTTATATTGGGGAAATTATCTGTGCATCTCATTTCCTGGGTTAGTAAAACAAAGTAGAAGCTCAGAATATACACAGTGCTAAATAAATGGTTTTAGTGTACTTATTGAAATAGCAAGTCTCTGTTATCTCTATTGTTGGCGTTTCTATAGCAGGTTGATTTTTTACGGGGTGGAGTTGCTAGCCCCACGCCCAACCCTCCTCCTTTATCCTGACTTGGGACAGGCAGATGGCCCCAAAGGACCTCTCTGGTGGAGTTGGGCTATACCTGGAAACAGCTAGAGCAAATGGCCCAGGATAAAGGACTCTGGAGATCTGTGGTTGGCGGCCCATACCCCGACTGGGGTGACGGGCATGAGTGAGTGAGTGTTGAAATAGCAATACAAATCAACTCTTCCAAGTGAACGGTTTCCTCTTTTAACAGAGCTTTGTAAAAAATAGGTTGGTTATGTTCAGTTCCAGGTTATATTTTCATCACAACTTCTTAGCAGCAAAAACATTTGCAAAAAGTCAGAACAAGAATCATAAATTAGCCATTGTAAAATTTTTCAGCCACTGGAAAAAAACCTGTATTATGACCCACCCACTGCTACATTTACAAATACAACTGGTTTATCCATTCATTTTTTGTTATATAAAAGGATCCTTTCTCAGAAGCTGGAAAATTAAGCTAGCAATAAAAATACTTTCATAGCTTCAGTTTTCCCAAAACACACTTGAATATTTGCATTTTAATGTTCTGTAAATACAAATAATGACTCCAGCAATTCAGTCAAAGCTGCATCTGCAAGAACCTCTTTCTCCCAATACCTTTTATTTGTAACCTGGCCAAAATTATTCTTCACACAAAAGACCTTCCTTGTTTGCATGCCCACTCCACAAGTAGCTTCTCCATTCCAGCTAATGGTAGCATTGAGGGCAGTTACCAAAGTGTCTTCAGAACAAGGACCCCACGGAGATGTTTCCCAATAGAGCTGTGTGCAAATGTGATCATTACATAAGCGATACTCCTGTAGGGCCCGGTGAGGAGGACAGGGTTTCCCACCTGAAAGTAGTGAAAAGAATAATATATTTATTATTATAATCAAGAGAACATTGTGGATGGATACTACATGTGGAAATATAAAGTTTGTTTTATAAGAAAGAAAGAAAGAAAGAAAGAAAGAAAGAAAGAAAGAAAGAAAGAAAGAAAGAAAGAAAATGGTTGGTTGTTTTTTCACATTTATGGCTATAGTAACAGCCTTCCAAAACACTGCTTCCCCATCAAATGAGCCTTGCACAAAATTGAATTTTGAGGAACAAACAATGGAAACTGAAATGTGTGAAGTAGATTTCCAGTTTCCCATGCTGCTACTATTATTCATAGGCTAATTGATTCCATTTAAATGCCAGCATCACCCTGGCTTTCAAACAACTATATTTAAATATTACCTTTATAATATGTTCACTCTGACAGATACAGCAATTTCCTGCCATATCCTTGGGGGACTGTGACAGAATACACCCGTGTTCACACCACCACACTATTATAAGAACATTTCTACAAAGGTATGCCTGGCAAGGTATAATTTAAAAAATACTCATAACTTTCTGATCAATAATATCATGAAAAAATGCACATAGCAACATTATATGTAAAGCTATGAACATAAACTAAAATCATGACTGAAGTATGTTTCCCAGATAAGTCTGGGGAGTGGCTAAACCAATTCCTCAGAGACAAAGGGCAAGCTTATGACTCAGCCAGGTGTCAATAAGACTGATGGACAATTACCTGCCAAGTGGCCATTCTTTGAAAAGAAAGGAGGCAGGGACAAAAATCTACATTTTAGCAAAGAAACAGCATGGAGTTTTTCTTTCTTCATTAAAGTGTTTCATGTTCTCCCACTGGAAATGCTTCTCAAAGGGAGGGGGGCAGGACTATAAAATGAAGGGGTAAACCCCCCCAAGACACCCCTCTCCCTACCCACCTCACTCTGCACCTGAGAAGACAAAAGAAAACAGCCACTGGACTCTAGGGGACGGGTCCTGTCCTGAGAGTTTGGTCAGCAATCTGCTGGAGCATGTGGTGAGAAAGTTTGCTTTGCAACTAAGATAGTTTGTAAGTAGATACTACTAAATATTTTATCATTATTTTTCTTGTAACCATTTTTGACTTTATGCCTTATTACTTATACTCACTTAAAATCTCTCTTTGTAGTTAATAAACTTGTTGTACTGTTTTAGCTAATCCAGTGTATTTAAATTGGAGTGTCAGGGTACTCTATTTAAAATAATAAGATGGCATATTATTCCCTTAAAGGAATAACAGACTTAATATATTTGTACAGCCAAGAGAGAGCTGCGCAGTACAGGATATACATTTCTGGGGGAAGATCCAGGACTGGGATTGTGTTGCGGTACAACCAAGGCTGGTGAGAGTCAGGGTATAACTGGCAGGCTGGCAGGCTGCATTTACACAGAGACACTGAGGGCATGGCTTGAATGCTGGAAGACTGTTTGTGAGCAGCCCAGGTGGGAGCTTCCACAGCAAGGCATTGCAAGGCACCCAAGGTTGCAGAGCAGGTGTGACATAGCCCCCTATTAGTGGGGACTGTGCCCTGGTATGTCAGAGACCTTTTTGAATCGTGTTTAAATATCTTTGATATCTATTGTATTAAATGAATGGTTTATGTATTATTATGGACCAGGATTGTATGTACCTTCTCCAGGTGAGAGATGGGACAGATGTGAGATCAGGGTTTGGGAAGGGGGTCTTCAAAGCACTATATTGAACAATGTGCGAGACAAGAATGGACTTTCAGAACAAATGTCAAATGGTTTTCCTGGGGAATATCTAAGGGGGAGATGAACACAAATTTCCTACTCCCAGTTATGCAAAATCCCAACCTTTTGACGTTCTATTCATAGGAGTAGGCCATTGTCTGCTGATCACCTGTTACATGAGGCCAAGATCAGAGGTCCAAAATGTACAAAGGAAACACTGAAATATTCCTGATTGTGGAGCACCGGATCTTGTCCAAGATGTGAATATAGCTGAATCGTTTAGTAATAGAGACCATAATGTAATTAAATTTAACATCTTGGAAGGTGGGGGGCAGAAATACCAAATACCAAAGATACCTACTACAGTAGCATTTAACTTCAAAAAGGGGAATGACACATGAATGAAAATTAAAATGAAATTAAAAGGAACAGTCACAAAAGTGAAATGCCTGCAAGATGCATGGAAACTTTAAAAAAAACATAATAGAGGCTCAAATTAAATATATACCACAAATTAAAAAAAATTGTAAGAGGACCAAAAAATATCACCATATTTGAAGAACTAGTAAAAGACACAAAAACTAAAAGTAATTTTTTTTAAGTAGCCTGCCAAACAATCAGTAGGCCACTGGACTATCAAGGTGCTGAAGGAGCATTCAAGGAAGACACCACCATTGCCGAGAAGCCAAATTAATTATTTGCATCAGTCTTCACCTCAGAAGATGTGAGGGAGATTCCCACATCTGAACCATTCTTTTTAGGTGACAAATCTGAGGAACTGTCCTGGATTGAAGTGTCAGTAGAGGTGGTTTTGGAACAAATTGATAAATTAAACAACAATAAGTCACCAGGACCAGATGGTATTCACCCAAGAGTTCTTGAAGGAACTCAAATATGAAATTACAGAACTTCTAACTGTGGTATGTAACCTATTGCTTATATCAGCTTCTTTACCAGATGACTGGAGGACAGCTAGGTGACACCAATTTTTTAAAAAGGCTCCAGAGGCAATCCTGGCAATTACAGGCAAGTAAGCATAACTTCAATACCAGGCAACTTGGTTGAAACTATAGTGACAAACTATGTATCTGATAATCCTGATTAACATGATTTGTTGGAGAAGAGTCAACACAGTTTTTGTAAAGGGAAATCATGCCTCAGCAATCTACTAATTCTTTGTGGGGATCAACAAGCATGTGGATGAGGGTGATCCAGTGGATATAATGTACTTGGATTTTCAGAAAGCTTTTGACAAGATCCTTCACCAAAGGCTCTTAAGCGAAGTAAGCTGTCATTGGGATAAGAGGGAAGGTGCTCTCCTGGATCAGTAACTGGTTAATAGATAGGAAACAAAGGGTAGGAATAAATGGAGAGAGTTAAATAGTGGGATTCCCCAGGGGTCTGTACTGGGACCAGGGCTGTTCAACATATTCATAAATTATCTAGAAAAGGGGGTAAACAGTGAGGTGGCAAAGTTTGCAGACAATACAAAATTTCTCAGGATAGTTAAGTCCAAAGCAGATCGCAAAGAGTTACAAAGGGATCTCATAAACCCAAGTGACTGGGCAACAAAATGGCAGATGAAATTCAGTGAAACAGCCTCGCAGCCTGAGGTCCATGAGCCTGAGTCAGCTGGCATGGGCCAGACGTGGGTTTTTCTTTGCTGTGTAGATACACCCTCTGAGTACATTTCTCAGACATGAAGGAAAGCTCTGTATAAGCTTGAAAGCTTGTCTCTCTTGCCAACAGATGTTGGTCCAATAAAAGATATTACCTCTCCTACCTTGTCTCACTAAAGTCACATTATTGTCCTTTTCTCCCTTTTTATCCTGATAGACAGCAGTATTTATCTTTTCCTGGTATTGTACAGTAGGCTGTTTTATTCATTGTTCAGAATGTTCAGAAAAACTTGATTTGGCTTTTGATTGCTATTCATGTTTTATTTCTTTTTGAGAAATTCAAAGTCTTCAGTTCAAAGCATTTCACTTCTAGTTTAGGTCATATATTCTTGAGATTATAGGGCATGCGTATTTACACGTGTATTTTCTTTCAAATTAACAATTCTGGTTTTTATTTTGCTTTTGACATTCTGCATCTATCTTGTTTGCATTTCAGAACATATTGCTACCTTCATGGAAAATATGCAGCTTACTTTAATTTTTTATTTTAATTATTTGCCACCTTGAAGTCTTTTTTAATAACAGTTACCATTTGTCTATACTTATATAGCAGTTTTCATCCCAACTTTCTTTACAAACTTTAATGGGCCATTTATGTGAATAAAGTTAATTCACATGAGGAAGCGTTTGCAAGCTTAAGATGACACACAAACATAACTTGTGGTTTTAATGATGATTTCTAAATGGTGTTTAACGGAGTTTGTTCTTTACTTGTGGGGAAAGTATGGTTAAGCACCAGGTTAGTTGCATGCATTGCTGACAATAAAGGTTATGTTTTAGAACATAGACAATGCCTTAGAGATCTGACATCCAAATGCTGACCCAGCACTTCTTAGTCTGTCATATTTGATGGGATTGTCACCATCAGATAGGATACAGACCATTTTTAAAATGATATTGGTATTTTCTGAATTTCTGTTGCATAGAGAACAGCAATGGCCCAATCCTGATCACAGATCTGCACATGCTAAAACCAAGAAGTTGAATGAACTATGTGCTTGAGAAGAAGCCTTTGTACCAAACTGTGCCACTAGAAGAACCACCATAATGGAGTCCACCGGGTGTGTTACTGTAAGCCAGAGACATGTGCCTAATGCATGTGTCTATGAAGAGCCAGAGAAAAGGACACAGCTATAAAAGCTATTTACATCATTCTAAAATTCAAGAACCCGGGAGCACATTTCATGAGTCTACTATATATTACATGGTTTTTTTCTTTTATAATATCTGATTTTACACATATTTCTGTTCTCTTCTAGACTGGAACTAATATGCTTCTATACAGTTACATAGGTATCGAGAGTTTGTGCCATACATTTATTTTATTTGTGTGTGTGTGCATGTGATTCCTCTTTTGGGGGTGGCAGATCCTCAGCTGGTGCAAACTGTGATAACTCTTTTGAAATCAATAGCATTATGACAATTTCCACAAGCTGAGAACCTACCCCTTAAAATCAAATAATCCACAGAATAAAATGTATTAAATATCTTTCATTGAAACATAGTTATATTGGCAATGGGTATAATCTAGCCACACACATTAATCAATCTTTGCACAGACCTTTTGTAAGTGCAAAGATTCATCTCCATGTGAAGTATTATCAATTATGACTATAATATTGGTGTTTGGGTCTTATCCAAATGCAGTTCTACTCACCCTCCCCTGGCAGTGCCAGGATAGATTTAGTTCTGCTTTGTTTCCCCTCTGCATTTTTACTGGAACATGAGTGGGAACAAGATGACCATTCTGACCAGTCATTAACGACACAGTCCATTGCACATGGTACTTCACAAACCATCGTTTCATGATGGAGAAGCTCTGAGCAAAGGGTATGTGATACCTCTTCATCTGAAACAAACAAGACAAAATTAAGCATAAAAAAGTGGGATGAGTTTGGGACCATTTTCAACAAATATGTTCTATGATGCATATACAAGCAGGCCTGATCTACACTAGGAAATTAGGTTGGTATAACTATGTTGCTCAGGGATGTGAAAAATCCACACCCCTGACCAACGCAGTTAAACCAACCTAACCCCTGGTGTTGACAGCACTAGCCTGACAGGAGAATTCTCCCATCGACCTAGCTATCACGTCTGGTGATGTACATACATCATTCAATGGGAGAACACCTGCCATCGGCGTAAGTAACGTCTTCACTGAAACATTACAGCAGCACTGCTGCAGAGTTTTAAATGTAGACAAGTCTTAAAATGTGTATACGTGTTTAGAACAGTATGGAAAAAACTGTTGAACAGGATTTCAGGCTTGAAAAGAAAGCACTAAAAGCATTTGACATATATACACTTTGAAAAAACAAAACAAAAATTTGATATTTGATCTACAAGCTTAGGCCAGCTTCCGGGGAATTGAGAACACTGCTAATAACTAAGCCTTTTAGATTTATAAAAATCTAGGAGATGGCAATCATGAGGGAATGAAATTAATAACCTTCAGATGGAACAATATAAATCAGTTATTACCAGGGCCCCATATTTACCAGAATTCTGCAGCTATAGGTTTTGTATCCAGCAATACAAATTGAACATGCCCCTTTCTTGCTTGCACAAACCAGGGAGATGATGTTTTGATACCTCTGTTGGAGTGTAGGCAGAATGAGTGGCGTGCCAGTTCCTAGAGTACTTCTCACTTAGACCTTAAGCAGGGCCGGCTCAAGGGCTTTTGCCTCCCCAAGCAGCGCAAAAGAAAAAGAAAAAGCCGTGATCGCGATCAGCTCTACCGTCGCCGCTTCAGTCTTCGGCGGCAATTCGGCGGCGGGTCCTTTGCTCCGAGAGGGACCAAGGGACCTGCCGCCGAATTGCCCCGAAGACCCAGACGTGCCGCCCCTCTCCGTTGGCCACCCCAAGCACCTGCTTGCTGGGCTGGTGCCTTGAGCCGGCCCTGCCTTAAGAGACATAGGCTATGTCTACACTAGAAAACTTACAGCAGCACAGCTGTACTGATGCAGCTGCACCACTGTAAGGTCTCCTGTGTAGCCGCTCTAAGCTGATGGAAGAGAGCTCTCCCATTGGCATAATTAAACCACCCTCAATGAGTGGCAGGAGAGAGTCTCCCACAGACATAGCTCTGTCCACACCAGCTCTTCTATTGGTGTAACTTATGTCAGTCGGGGAGGTGTTTTTTTCATAACCCTGAATGACATACGTTTTACCAATAAAATTGCTAGTGTAGACATAGCCTAAGCAAATAGAGCTGCTAGATCTCACATAAGAGAAGAGAGAGACTGCACCAGGGACTCCAAGGGAACATGAACAAATGTGGGACCTCTGGTAGCAATGCCAAGATTGTAATGCCTGTGGCAGGAGGTGGGCAGAGCAATGTAAAGAAAAAACTGGAGGAATGAGAGTGAGAGGACATGGGTGAGAGAGCAGAGGTTGAAGCCAGAGATGATAGGCAGAGGAAGTCTATGGAGTGGTTTGAAAACCAAGAAGAAGAGGGCTCACAGCACTGAACTGTTAAGGCTAAGGGTGAAATCATGACCTCATTAAAGTCAACAATAGTTCTGCCATATTCTTCAGTGGGGCTAGGATTTCACCCAAAACATAGAACACACAGGCCATGACAGCATGTGATTAAAAACCCCAAACAAAGGACACAATGAAAACATAGTGGAGGAGGAAACACGGCATTATGTTCAGTTAATTTCTTTCTTTAACAAAGATTTTCATAACCTCACCATCAAGCAACAGCATTTCTGATGTCAAAAATTACAATTAAGAACAAAATGAAATAATAGCAAGTCTCTAAGACAGAAGTGAATTTAGGGTAATAATGAGAGATTTCCCTAGGAATAAGAATTGAGGGGTAGATTGTCTGGTCCATTTAAGCTCAGTGCAAATCAAGAGGATGGATCAAAGGTAGTTCTAAGCCACCTTTATACCCCTCTCGCCAAATCCTGGGGCTTTACAGGGTCACTGATGCCCGGTTGCCCTTGGCCTGATAGCTGGGGATAGCAGGAGCATGGTGACACTCTAGCCACACCTCCTTTCTTTCCAGAATGCCTCCTACATGAGAGAAAGTGCGGGGATGGAGTACAGCTGCTACATCAGTTCTATCACAATGAGAGATGACACAAAGAGGATCCCCAGGTCGCCAGTTAAGCTGGATTTCCAGCTACTCCACACTACTGGTCTGATGCAAAGCAGCTGGATCATAAAAGTCTACATTAAGACTACCACAAATCCCCTTTTCAATATGCATCTATTTACCAATTGTTGTTAGTCTATTGTTTTTTTCCCCAAAGCAAGGTAAAACAAATGAATAGCTTCATTTAAAAAATAATGGAGCAGAATTTCCTAATCATTTTATTTGTAACTTTGTTACGCAAACCATATAGGAATCTTGAACATTCCATATAACATTAAAATATACTTTTTTGCAGACATAATTTGTTGTTGATGGAATTTTCTCTCACAAACTATAATTGTAAATGGATTCAAAAGAAATGTGGTTAGCTTTGTTGAATCATTCCCCTGTAAAAATTTTCCTGACCCTCCTGTTTAATGATATGAATGGATACGGGTGTGTACACAAAATATGTAGGCAAGCAGGAAGACAAGATTTGGTAACTTTGTTGAATCACTCTCATATCTGAATTCTTTAAAGCTAAACTCCAGCTCTTTACGAATAACAATCTCACTCTGACTGTTACATCTTTCACCTTTAGGATAATTGCAAACTTTTCCATTTAGGTTTCTTTACCTCATATGAATCTAGGAAAAACACAAAGGAGTACCTATGCCTAATTAGAAGTAGGGAAAAATTAAAATTTAGACTGCCAGCTGCAAAAGAAAGCTGGCTTTTCCGCACTTCACACAGTATGGGAGTTGTGTCTCTCACAAGGCAGCTGAGGATGCAATTATAACTAAAGGGGTAGAAATCTCTATTGCTTTTGCAAGACAACACATGTACCAGTGAGTAAATAAGACAGGCAGGGGCTACTAGTGAGCCTGCTTAAAGCTGTCAATAGCACCACAGTAGTATCTGCATTCATATCCCTCAATAAGAATAGGCTCCTTGCCCTTGAGGTAGAAATAAAACTTTCCAAGCGTATTATGAGAAGTAATAGAGAATCTAGCAGTTAGACTATAAGAGATGTAAAAAATATTTTATTTTGTCTCTCAGACTTGACATTCCTGATCACTCTATTATTATTCTAGCCTGCTGAAAAATCAAATCAAATCCAAAAACCTCTCTGAAAGAAAGCCTCTGGTCCTGTTGAATATAGGACTATTTCTACATTGCACTTGGCAAATTCCTTTCTCCCCACCGACAGACTATGTTTAATCATTCCTCAGAAGAGTCCATTATCACCCTTGGTCTGGATGCTAACATCATGCCGATACCCCAGGGAGAAAAAACCAAAACCTTAAACCACGCTTCAATTATATACTTGTCTCCCTAAGTCATTATGATACCCACGTCCTTGCTAACATTTTGACAGCTTGCCTCTGCAGCAGTGAGTAACACGCATGTGTACCTCCAGGTGAGGCTGGATTTTAAGAAGTCATTGGTGCTATAATGCTAGGGGATTACATAATTTAGGTGAGGTGAGCAGTAAACATCTATCCTCTCTTATTTATATTCATAGGAAGAAAGCATTCAAATAGTCAGCGACAGGTTTATGAGCTGGAATGGACTAGCTGGGTTTCAGCACCGGCTCCCCCTTTTCTCCTCTCACAGGGCAGGGAGTTGTCTACATTACATAGTGGACTTGAGGCATTTGGGTGGTGCTCCGAGGGCTACCGATGCTGGGCAGAGATGCTGGGCCTCAGATCAAAAAGTGTTGTTTTTGTTTCTGTGTTTGAACCCTCGTTGCCTTTAAAAGCACCTGTGCTGTTCTGCCTTGTACGGTCTGTCTAAAATGTTTCCAGACCAACTAAAACTATTTGAACAAGACTTAAACCTCTTGATGCAGAATGTGGTGGTAAGTGGGTCATGTTTTTTTCTTGATTTTCCAAGGGGTAGATTGTGGCACAAGAATTCAGGTGTCTTGCATAAGGTCATAGACAGCCTGATCCTAAGCCCCAGTGGCATATTAGCCACTAGGCCACCGTGCCCAGGGGCCCTGGCCAATTGCGGGGGATCCTGGAAAAATGGGCGCCCCCGCACCCTGACCCACTCCTCCCATCTGGCACTCCTGCCAGGGAGTGGGGTTGGGGCGCTGGGGCTTCTCCCACCCCAGCCATGCTCCCCAACAGGAGCACTGGGGGAGGGGAGGCTGCAGACAGAAGGGGTGGGGAGGGGCCCCAACTTGGTCTGGCCCAGGGCCCCACAAAACATTAATTCACCTCTGCTTAGCCCATTGAAATCCATTGAAGTCTTTCTATTGACTTCAGATCAGGCCTGTTGAGAGTATGTGCAACTTCACTCAGATCATGGCATCACTCTCATCAGGGATGAGTTATGGCAGGATTCTGCTCCCAGCTTGGAGGAGGGCGCTTGTACTCATTAATTTTGAATTCATGAGGGAGACAGCTATGATGTGCCACACGTATTGGATGAGAGAGAGAGCCAGGAACACAACCACCTCTCCAATTCTTCACTCTGACTACTACTTCTGACTGCAGCCAAATGACAGTGACAGCAGCAGCACTTTGAGTGCAAGTTCATGGCTCCTCCGCTTCAGCAGAAAGAGGCAGATTTCAATGGTTTGATAGATGACTTTGCCACAAAATGCATAAAGATATTTGAAAACATTTCCTTAACTGATTAGCTTTATAGACATATTCACTGTGTGCACTTTTTGGACTGCTAGCAAAATAGATTCTGAGAAAGATAGCATATAAAGAAAAAATATATAATGGGCATTTTTTATTTTCCATGAA